TATGAAAGCATGTACCAACTTTTCAGTATCAGATTGGGATAATGATTTACGAATACGATTAATATTTCTTAGATGGGAATATCCAGATCTACAAATAGTAGAAATGTGTGTTTCCATAGATAGCTGCGAATCAAACAAGACACCTAAGTTTCTAGCACTTGACGAAGCACTAACCAATTCTTCACCAATTGCGATACTAGACAAAGGACACGAGTCTTGTGAGAATCTCCGAGACGACATGCACACAAATTCAGTTTTCGACACATTCAAAAGTAGGAAATTACAAGACATCCAATCGCTAACATCTTGAATACATGTCTGAAGTATCACCCGGGCGCGAATATTCCGCCTTGGTACTAAAGAACCCCGTGGTATTAACAAACAGTTCAACTCATTTGTTGAGCTCACTACCTAAGGCGCGTTATTTGTTCTATTGTGGAATTTTTTGTGATTCTAACTTATAGTTCATGCGCGTTCTTACGTTCCTATGTTCTACCTGTACGTTATCACACTTGCTTCTATGCTATCGATAGAGAGCTATTGCTCGAAACGTCTAGCTATTTTTAATAGTTATTTAGGACTACGATTACCAAATATTATCTTCAATATATCATCAGCATAACTAAGATTGTTTAGCAACTTATCACCAACTAGACATTCACTCGGAGTGTCATTCAGTTGGATATTCAGATTATTAATTTGACAACACTTGTTTTTGGAAGCTCCAATATAAAAATACACACTTAAAATGTATTTCCCACTCAAATGATATGGGTAGAAGTCCGTATATATGCATACACCTCATTTCCTACAGTACTGTACAAGACCGGCCATCCTTGACAGAAATGCTCGGCTTTGTTTAAATTGCATTATATCGTAGGAAACTACTCTAATCAAAACTTCTAATCAGCGAAGAGTAAAAAAAAAAGAGTCATATTGCTGTTCAATTCACTATAATTTGTGTTTTTCTACAGGCATTGTTGACGATCAACACGAAATCATCGACCCACATCTGTATACTGACAAATTCTTGGCAAAAATGTCGGCTGTAAACTGGACGCACTACACAAAGGACTACGATTATAACATGACTGATTTTACATTCAGAACGGGGCACCAAGCAAGCGATTTCATTCTACAGGTAGTTGGCCACCTTTTATATTAACAGTGTTTAGTGACAGTGACATACTACATTGTTAAATTTCTATAGGTCGTTGAATGATGTGATGAAGACTGAATTTGACATGTACCATTCAAAAAAAATGTTGCTCTCTGGCTCAAAACGTCGACTTTCAATTTTATACAATGCAATTTTATACAATAAAAAAAACATTGTTCACTTTATCAAAGATAACACAAACACTCCCATGGCCATCTTTATCATATCGTGGTATAAGTTCGAAATACTCATTCATTTACACAGTTTTGCCCAGAGTTTAGTAAATTGCACTTGGACTTGCGCTCTCGTGCAGTCTACTCGTCGACACTGACCAAAACAGTGGGTTTATATCTGTAAAACTACTCGTTGCCTCGTTGCTATTGTTCAAGCTGTCTCAGTTATGGCGGACGTTTTTGTTAACAATTTTCTCGAATGTACTTACTAGGTTGTTCTCACAGCCTAAAACTCACCGAATTAAGAGTATTACTTCGTATGGCTAACAATTGTTAACGTTCTGGTTTAGGGAAGAAATATGTTAATTCCATATTGGACTTTGAAAAGAATTGTGGGATAGAAAATTCCACTGTAGGGGGGGGGGCTCACATCTTTTCCATAGAGTCTAGGTTAAAATCAGCTTTTACCTTTCCTATTTACAAGCAACGCATTAGTTGTTTTTTTTAAATGTATAGTATTATTAGTGGACTTCCCATTAATTTTACTGGGACAATTTTCAGATTTTTTACTGTTTTTGGCTGCAAGCTGTCAAATTATAGGGATATGTAAGTGTATCTGATTTCTACTCATTCATTTAATCTAATTTATAAATTAAAGTCCAAAAATAGAACCATACATTTAAAAAATGCTGACTTTAACAGTCCCCACCCTAAATGTCCTCTACAGTAGATGTTATATCCAACAATTTTTGTACTCGGATTTTCAAAAAGTTATTGTCTTTTAAAAAATATATTAGACGACCATTTTCCAAAGAATGATATGTGCAGATATGTGGCGATTTCAATTAGCGACAACCTAATTATCATTATTAATCATATTAATTTATTTTAGTGTGAATACAGTGGAGAAAATTGTTCTTATGAAGATTTCAGTCACGTGTTCTCACATCATGGTAATTGCTTTACATTCAACAAACATGATGAAAACAACGCTGTTCTCCTGTCGAAAAGAGCTGGCACAGGTAACACATGCTAGATGGTTTATTTCTGTTTAGTGCGACATGCATTACATTACGTTGTGGAATTGTATAGTACATTACATCAATATTATATGTAATATCAATGTCAGATACTTAACGCCAACTTATTAGATAATTTACATTTTTTTTAAATAAAAAAGCCACAAACCTTCCTAAATAGGCTTGATTTAAATACATCCCTGTGATATTTTATAAATTAATAAACGCTGCTCGGACTGATAAATATGATATATAGAAGATAATATTTGGTAATCGTAGTCCTAAATAACTATTAAAAACAGCTAGACGTTTCGAGCAGTGGCTCTTTATCGATAGCATAGAAGAAAATGTAGATATTTTGATATTTTGTCGTGTTGACATTGATGTGACTATTTTCCTAACCTTGGTTCTTAATAACTACATGTATGTGGTGGAGATGATTCAGCACAATAACAAGTGTATGCATTCCTATTTTTCACTGCTGAGTGTACAGTCGACTCGAACTTACAATCACTGTCAGGTTGGCCAAATTAAACTGTGTGACGGTGTCAATATCAATGTATTTATAAAGTATTTTTGATGCAGGTAATGGCCTGCGCCTCATACTCGGTATCGAAACCGAAGAGTATACCCCCTCCAACGATTTGGATGGCGACGCTATGGACGCCGGCATCAAACTCCTCGTCCACGGAGTAAAAGAACCACCATACGTGAAGGAGCTGGGATTTGTCGCATCTCCTGGTTTCCATACATACGTATCTCTTAGAAAGGCACTGGTAAGAATAAAATTGTTCACTTAGACAGTTTGAATTTCAGGCGAATTACTTTTTGAAAAGTGAATCGTAAGTGATTGTTAGTACGCCGTATATACTGTATTGTGGCGCAATGTTAGAATATTTCGGAAGAATATGCAGATATTTTGAATTTTGAGAGCCAATTCAAGATATTTATAGTTATAGTTCGAAATCACGGCTTATTTACAAGAAAAACTTGTAATTTGCTGTTTAAACATGACTATAACAAAATTGCCGCTTTGCTCACCCTCTACATGACCATTAATCTCAATAAACTGCGGGCACGATAGCTTATACATTTATATTATAGCCATCCACTGGAGTGAATGTTACGTGATACCGTCGCAATTAATATAATAACTAACACAACTAACGCCATAGACAACATGTTCTGCGCAATTCGCAATCCGAAGTGTGAGATGTGTTGTGTTACTTCTGAGCATGCGTTGTTGGCAAACTTAGCGTCGAAAACGATAAAGTACACTTTTTCTAACGACGAAGCGAGTACATGACATAGAAATGAAACGAGTAAAAACAATGTCGTTCAAAGTGACAACTGTGGTTGAACGTCATTTAAAATGTGTCAAATCTCAGAACAAAATAATATACACACAGAGAACGACCTTATTTGACGTCACTAGCCGCATTGTCGCTAAAGGAAGTGTTGCTATTTTAATATCATGTCATAATGAAATGTTAGTGGGTGACGGTAATGAATGTCAATTTTCCCACTGTGTTTGATTGTGTAGGCGTTCGCTAACTTGATTATATTAACACATTTTAGAAACACATAATCTTTATTGATGGACTATTTCAGATCAAAACGATAACGACGATATTAACGGCTCCCGTGTCTTCAATTTAGGTCACGGAAGCGACTCGTCGCTAGACTTGTGCATATAATTATAACCATATATATTGCATAGCTGTACGTTCGTTTATACAACGTTGGAAGAAGAATTAAATACTAATGAGGGTTTTATGTTTTAATTACATATCGTGACAATCCATCAAATATAAGCAAATTTACTTTCTATTAGTGAGGTAAATATCACGTTTCTTTTATTTGTTTGACATTTACAGTAAGGCAATAAGCCAATATCTAATTATTACTATTATTATTATTTATTATTAATTATTATTATAAATTATTATTAGGAATTTATTCAAATACTTCTGGTAACGACTAGAATGCATGTGTGATATAAAACCGTGTACTTCGAATCTCAAATTGCACATAACTTTGTTTCACCCGTTTCTAGTGGAGATTCGTCACTGGCTGTGAAACGGCCACGGCTTGAGTTGACTTCAAAATTAGTAATTATGTTACTAATGTATTCTCAAACCGTACAAATAGTGATAACTTCAAAAAAATATATTTCATAATAGAAAAACGATAAAGTAATGGTGTGTTCATGCATGGCGATCGTTTATGCAAATACATAATAACTACGATCACAGCTTTAGTGTGCCTTTAAAGTTGACAGATGGATACGTATAGAAAATTTGAACATAATCGTGATATTTATATGTAAAATGTACGACCCACAATTCAAAGCAATGTTCTTTTTATTCATGACAATGAAATACTTGAAAACAAACTATTCGTAGTATATTTATGTGTGTGAACAAATACTATAATTATGCGATTATCTCTGTTAACATTTTTGTGATATTACGGTTAAGTTGAAGTCAGAATCCTCACGTGACATGAACTTT